CATTTCGTGATACAATATAATAGTCTTTTTATTTTATAAGTTATTATAAGCAAATTTGCAAAGGTAACAAGCATCTGATTTGCACGATGTCAAATAATGAAATGTCAAGCAGAAAAACATTATCGAGAACGAAAAACGGCAAAATAGGGGGGAAAAAGGGAGAGAAGATATTAGGAAGGAGAAAGAGAATGTATAATGTCAAAATATAATTCCGGCAAAGACTTCGTGTTTTTGTCTATTTATTCCATGTTTCTGTTTTTTAATATGGACCATTTCAGATATCAATCTTTTATTATATGAAGGCTCTACATCTAATACTCCACTTTAAAGTTATGATTCTCCTCAATACGATGGTTGGAAATCACTGATGGAGATTTTGAGCTTATATTGATATCAGAAACATGTTCATGCAATCTAGTCTTTAATTGTCTTTTAGTTTGGCCAACATAACTGACATCATAATCCTCGCAAGATATTCTGCAGACCACATTTTGATTCTGAACGTGTTCTAAATCATCCTTTCCTCTTTTTATAAAACTTCTTAATGTGAATAGGAATGGTAAAAGTCAATTTACAATTAAATATGTTAACAATAGGTATAAATCTTTCGGATATCGTATTATATGAAATCGTAAAAAATCTCTCAGTGTCATCCTTATTTTTATTCAAATTATTAATCTTATTAATGTGATATTTAATTCTATTATGAATAGTCGAAAAAATAAAACGGACCCATTCTGTAAAAAAATCTTAATAGCGTCAACCAAATTATTTCGTTGGAATTTCGGATGACACAAACAAAAAATCTTATCCACAACCCCATAAATTACACCTCTTTTATGATAAAATGGATGGTGTGAATGGAAATTAAGAAATCTACTGGAAAAGGTTGCTTTACGGTATATATCAAAAATAAGATTTCGTTCTTCAATAATCAACATCGTATCTAAAAAACTTATTTTTCCATCAAGACCAATCTCCATGGTGAACTGCAATCTAATATGCAACGAATTAAAAATATTCAAAATATCACAAACACTCTCAGACGGAGCAGCTAAGACAATATCATCAACGTATCGATAATAAAATAGCAGTCGACAAGGCAGCATTCCGATAGCCATTTTTAAAGTCCTGCATAACCATATTTGCAACAACAGGTGACAAAGGTGAACCCATGGGAGTCCCAAAAATTTGCTTGTATATTTTTTTATTAAAGATAAAAACCGTAGAATTTAAAACCATCCGAAAGGCAATTAAAAATTTGTCCAAAGGAATTTTAGTCTTCTTGGATATAGCATCTCACCTCACAACCACACTATCAGATGTCAAATCTATAGATATATTATTGGGAGTACAAATTAGTTCGGTCCGTTTTCCAAAAGATGGCTCCGGCTGTTGTGAATGGTTCATAGTGACAGCTGATTTTGGCGTTTTCAGAGAGGTTAGACATTTGCTAATAATATTCAGTTTATATTGCTGAGTTTCATACAAAAACCTTGATTTTTACTGTGTTTAAAATGTCGAATTTTGTGTTTACTAAGCAGCATTTGCGGGAGATTCTGCTTTAATTGGAAGAAAAGTGCAGCTGAAGCCCATCGAATGCTTGTCGAAGTTTATGATGACACTGCTCCAACTGATAAATCATGTAGGGAATGGTTTCGACGTTTCAAGGATGGAGATTTCAGCGTTGAAGACAAACCTCTCGCTCTGGACAGCCAAAAAAATTCGAAGACAAAGAATTAGAGGCATTACTCGAAGAAGATCAGAGTCAA